GCAACAGTTAAACAACAGTTACATCAAACAAAAAAAAACATGCCAAAAATGCTTTGATGCATCCCTTATTGATCCATTTGGAGCATAAGGCGAGACATCAATTTTTTTCCAACTTCGTGGAATTTTTTGGCAAAACAAAATTCATACATTGCTCGCTTATTACTCCAAATGGATGAAGAAATCATTACTCCTCTATTGCTCGGTTGAGGATTACTCCAAATATTTTTTACTGGGGTTATTGCAATTTTAATTGATGACATTTATTTTTTTTTTGTTTGTTCGTTGTTGTGTTTTTTTTTGTTGTGTTTGGCTGCCAGACATGAAGCCCATTGTGTGGTGCAGTTTTGATGCGTCTCTGTAGAGTTGAATTTGAAACAAAAAATACTTTATATCAACACCAAGTTAGATAACACAATTCCTAAATGCAATGTAAACGTGGCAATGTTCCTTTTGGTCAAAAATACATTATTTGATGTGTGTGTTCCAGATGGTGATTTTACAAGGAAAAGTATTAAGAATGTTACCGAAAAGGGGAGAGGGGACAAGTAGTAATTTTTGTCTTTAATAATTCATGGCGAAAGTGATCTGAATTGGGGCTACTCATGAATGGCCTGTATGGACACATGCATTTTTATACCCCACGTCACACTCTAGTACAGGGAATTATGTCTGCGGAATTCTTTATAACACGCAAAAGCACACGAGAGAGATCTGTTTTCGGTCCGTAGAACTATTGGAATTGAAAATAGGCCATATAAGTCTACGTTTTCGTATAGCCTCCATATAACTGTACCGGCAAACTTGCAGAAGTTTCTCCTCGTCGTAATGAGATAAAAAAACTACGACAAAGTGAACGCCATAATTTTTACATTTTTTTTAATTTAATTGAATGAAAGCAAAAATTGTCGGAAATAGCATCAAATTTTGAGATTTAGTTCAGATTTGTTCGAATTTTGTCACCTTTGGCACGAATTATGGCCTTCAAACGGCCAATGAAACCGGCGTCCCACGCTGCCCGAATGTTGCTATGCGGTATTTTGGCCCATTCCCGTCGAAGCGTTTGCTTGAGGTAATCGCCACCTTGGTAGTTTTTAGTGCCAACCTTGCTTTCGAAAATACTCCAGATACAATAGTCCAACGATTTGGTATCCGGGAGATTTTGGTGGCCATTGTGAGCTGGAAATGAAGCGAGGAACCTCATTTCGTAACAATTCTTGGGTGGCGCGTGCTGAGTGTGAGTTTCGCGATAATATTCGGCATTTATTCTGATGCCACGGTCGTTTAAAACGAGCGGAGTGCGACCATCGGCTGTTATGGCGGCCCACACCATCACCATGGCCGGGGCTTGACTTCTAGTGGTCAACCGAAGGTGCACATTTTCATCTGACCTCTCTTTGGCAAGTAAACACGATAATTTTGTTTGTTTACGAACTGCTGGACAACGAATATTTTCTTATCGGAGAAACCCCTAATTCGGCAGTTCACCACTTTCGGCCAAGCAACTCTTTAGCTCTTTTGAGTCTATTTTCTTCCTGTTGCCGTGTAAGTGTGGCTTAGAAAGAACAGCAGTCTGAAGTTGTTTGCAGTTTTTTTTCTCATCTCACCCTGTACAACTGTATCTCCATATATTTGTAATTTTTATGATTTGTGTTGCAATTTTCACCGGAATTGTTTCACATTTGGTATTTGGAGTTCTTAATGGCTACTATATCCTATAATAGAAAATTGTATACACAGGTCCGCATCTTGCCCTCATTCTATCCTGTGAAAGAGTCGACACATTTTGCAAAAAATGAGAGGTCCCTTAGGAATCTTTGTAAAAAATAATATTTTGACTTTTCAACATCAAAACTGGAGTGCAAATTGGGTTTAAGGGAGTTCGCTGAACAAAAAAAAATAATAGTTTCATTGGATGGCTTGCTGAAGTCTTCTTCTCCGCGTCGTAATGCTAGTAGTAGTAGGAGTAGTCATGTATAGGAGTTCTTGGAACCATCAATCAATTGTTAATTTTATTCATTTTTTGTTAATTTGTTTTAGTGTTTAATTTTAAGTAATTCTTTTAGGATTAAGGATATTATAATAATTTTAGAGTAGTCATGTATAGAAGTTTTTTGAACCGTCCATGGCCCTGTTGGCTAGGTTTCTGTACTAATTGAAAATAAATAAAAATAAAATAAAATAAATAAAATAGGTTTTGAATCAACAGTTCAAAATGTGCCAATTTTATTGTTATTACCAGAAATTCATGTTTTTGATGCCAAATTTAAATACATTTTTTTAATATTTAATTTGTTTTTCTTCTCCTTCCAGCTTTTGTAACTAAATCTCCGTTTTGACATCACTTTTCATCATAAACTGAAATAATAACAAAAACACCATCGAAACGAATACAAAAAACAAACAAAACAAAGAAAAAACAAACAAAACAAAATAAATCAAAAAACCAATTACCAACAACAACAACAACAAAACTACAAACCCGAGAATTTAAAAACAACTTTAGCTCAAAACCAAAAACCTAACCACATTGGCGCGTTTTTTGGAGGACATTTTGAGGAAGTGTGGCTGGCAAAAAAAAAACAACAAAAAAACAAATCTGCTCCATAATTTACATTTAAAGAAAGAAAATCAAATAGAAACTATATAGTAAAGAAACAATATCCTATTTTTCAATTACAATAACAACAACAACAATAAACTACAAAACACGTGCGGACTGAAATTGGAGAGTGGGAAGAAGCTGGAAAGCGGTGTAGAGGCAGAGGCAAGAAGGCCGAAGCACGGACGGACGCAAGGAAGGAAGAAGCTGAAGCCAAGCTTAGCTTGAAAAACAATATTCGCAAAAAGAGAAACAAAAAACCATTCTGAAACTAAAAACCAAACTGGGAAAAAATAAAAAAACAAAAACACTTAGTGAAATTTTAGCAATAAAATTAAGAACAAAATAAAACGTGAAAATACTCAGAATTTCAAAGAAATTCGAAATATTCAATAAAAAAAATAATAATAACAACAACAAACAACCAAGCAGAGAAACTCATCTGTCCACAGCAAGAAAAAGCAACCCCACAAAAACAAACAAAGCAAACCTACTCTTGGCCCAGAGCTGAGCCTAAGGAGCTGAGAAGGAATTTGAAAGATTTGCAGAGACTATTGCTTGCCAAAATCAAAGAAAACTGAATAATAGGGAAGAAGCCCCCACCCCGCCCTGGAAAAGGCCAAAACGAAAAGTCAACAAAAACCAGCCATAAACGGAGTATTAAGCAACAAACACAGCAAGAACAGAAAACTATTATTGGTTCAGAATCTAAATAGCAAAAGCAGCAGCAGCAACAAAAACAACAACAGCAGCAACATCATCAGCCTTAACCTACCACAATACATTCAAATATCTTAAAATTTCCGCAACTCGAATATTTAAAAAAAAGAAAGAAACCAAATTCCCGTTTTATTTTCGATTAATTCCTTATTTCAAGCTTTCAAAACATAGCTTTAGTTTAGTTTTTACAACTTCTTTTCCTTCAACAACCCCCAACCCCCCATCATCGTCATCATCAAAATACGCTTTAATTTTGTTTTACAAAAAATAAACCCCCCCAACAACACAACTCTTGCAAAAAGAAATAAAAACAACCACGCCCACAAATTCAATAAAAAAAAACAGCAACAATATAAAAAAAATAAATAATTGTAACAAAAACAAAAAGGCAACAGCAACAACTACCAACAACTGAAAAGAAAGTTTTAAAGTACAAATAAAACGAAAAAGTTAAATTTAAAACGCAACATAGAAAAACAAAAACAAACTCTAAACTAAACAACAAACAAAAAATACTGAATTTAAAAAAAAAAAACACTTAAAACAAAAAAAGAAAAAAAATAATTAAGATTTTTATTATTGTACAAAGTATTAAGAAAACAAACACATATTTAGTTTAAGAAGAAGAAGAGGTGTAAGAGGCCTGAAACAAAGCCAAGCAAAAAAACTGGAAAAGCCATCTTAAATAGCCAAAAAGAAAAGGGAAAGTGGTCAAGAATAACCCCAGGGCTTTTTAAGCCTGCCACCTAGAGAAGTGAGTGGTGGTGGCCTGGAAAATAAACACTTTATAAAGCAACAAACAAACCAACAACAACAGAATAACGGAAACAATAATTAAAACTATTTAATTTCTAAAAATAAAAACAACATTAATCAAATTAAATTAAAAACTAAGACATTTTTACATTTAATTATTTTTTTCGTATTAAAAAACCAAAACAGAAAAACAAAAATTCCAAACTTAAAGAACAAAAAAAAGTCATAATATTATTAAAAAAATAAATAAAATAAAAATCTCGTCTGTGTGGAGCCTAAAAAAATATTAGTGATCTCGAATTCAAACATCAAAAAACGAACGGGAAAGAAAACCTTTTCAAAAAAGGCATCATCCCAAACACAGAAATCAAGTGAAAGGAAAAAGGGAATCCCCTCTTCAAAACTACAGCTCCAACAGGGCAGCATTAACGTCATTAATAAACATCAACATCATCATCGTCATCGTCATTAAACAACAGCAACAAAACTCATAGAGAGCCTAACAAAAGATAACTCAAGAGGGAGGGAGATTTAGGCTCTCTCCTCTCAACACCCACTCACACTCACTCTCTCTCTCTCTCTGCAACGCATATAAGAGTACCTAAGGTGAATTCATATAAAGTCTTAAGGAGCAACAACACAACTCTAAAAAAAATCAACCAACAAATTCAAAGAAAAGATTAAAACATCTCTGTGATAATTATTGTAAATTTATAAACTTATTAATTAAAGGAATCTTTAGAAATGCAAATTTAAACCAACAACAAAATCCTCTTATTAATAATATTAAAAAACAAAAATACAACAACAAAACTACACAAATGAAGCTAAATTTATATTAAAGATAAAAAAACAACAACAAATACAAAAATAAACTGCAACAAAAAAATAAATTTAGTCTAAAAAAACGATTAAAAAACATAGTCTTATAAGGAGCAAAACAAAAAAAAAAAAAAAAAAAACAAGAAAAACTTAAAAAAAGATAATGAAACATTGAAACAAATTCGTGATATCTTAAAGGACTTCGATACATATACTATAGTATATATTATATATTAAAACAAAAACAAAAAAAATCCAAATAATTGTAATAAGGAAAATAAAAACAAAAAATAAATTTAAAAAAAAAAACACAAAAATCTATATTAAAACTATAAGTTATAAGCTTATAAGAAAAACAAAATATAAAAAAAACCAATACCAGCATCTTATATAGATTTAAAAAGCAAAAAAAAACCAAAAGTCTTAAGGTAATAAAAGACTTTATAAAAAAAATTATTCAAAACGTATATAATTGTATTCAAAAAAACAAAACAAGTTCTTATAGTTATAAAAATAAAATAAAAAAGTAATAATAATGGAAACATAAAAAAACATACAACAACAACTCCTTAAGTGTTTGTTTTAAACACAGGACCACGCCAAAAAATACTACTAAAAAAAAAAAAACAAAAATATGAAATCTAATATTTAAAAAAAAAACGCAAACAAACAAACAATACTTCTCAAATTCTCAAATTTTTCAAGTATTTTTAAAACTTGCATCTGATCCCAAAGATTTTTTTTAAATAAATAATCTGTGTATTAATTTCAAAAATTAATCAAAATCTAAAAAAAAACACACAATCCAAAACCACAACCCTTTAACAAGCAATAAACAAAGTTAAAAATTAAAAAAAAAACATTAAATTAATAAAAAAAGAAAACATTAAAAAATAAATCGTGCATTTCTCCCCCGTCGTGTTACTTCCTCAACAAGAACAACAACAAAAAAAGTAATTTACAAAAATTAAAAAAAAAAAAAAACAACAAATCAGTGCCTCTCAATTAAGAAAAGAAAAAAAAACGCATCAAGCCCAGAATTGAATTCAACAACTTAGAAGAAACCAATTTTGTATCATTTTGTTCACATAATACCCTGCCCAAAACAAACCCCAACCCCCACCTCCCTTGCACACAAAAAACCGCTCAAATTGCGATCCGCGGCCCTCTGACCATACCATTAGTTTTCTTTCATCTTTTGGTTTTCACACCACCGCTCTGCATAGTATTCTTCGTTCAGTGTTATTTTTTTTCAAATCATTTTTTTAAAACTGGTCACAATGAATACTCAATCAAAAGGATATCGTGGTGAAGGTAAGTTTTATTACTTCAAATTATTTTTATTATAAGTATTCTTTACATATTATTTATTATACTTATTTTTACGGTCCAAAATTTCGCATAGACCTCTCCATATCTGAAATTTTGATAATTTATTAAGCTTTCACACGTATTTTTATACCCTCAGTCATATGGCTAGAGAGGGTAAATATCATTTGATACGGCCAAAACGTGCCGCATGGAAATAATGGTTTTAGATTCTTGGTCTCTTTGGACCAACTCCGTTTCAGGACATTTGGTGTCGATCTAGCGATGTCCGTCCCTCTGTCTGTCTGGCTGGTGCGCACACAATAACTCTCGAAGGGAGTATCCGATTTGATCCAAACTTGGTACATCGTCAAATTATTGTCAAACTTAGATCGAGTTCGGAGATGGGCATTATCGGCCCACTCCTTCCAGTACCTCCCACACTAAATGGCAACTTTTTCAAAAAAAAGTAATAATAATAATAATAAATTGCTGCACAGAAAGAGAAAGGATAATCTGATTTTGCTCCAACTTTGCAAATCCTATTATTACCATCAATGCTACCTCAGGTGCGAAAATGGACAATATCGGTGCACTCTATCAAGTACATCCGACACAAAGGGTCCAAATTTTGAATATCCATGAAGTTCTCAAAACACGAAAATAACATACGATTCCATTCAGACTTGGCACATCTCAATATTCCCATTAACACAAGATCTGTTATAAAGATGGTAGAGATCGGACTTTACCTTCTGGTACCACCCGCACAAAGGGTTAAAATTTTGAATAACCAAAACGATCAAAAATTCGAAGTAAGCATCCGGTTCTCTTCAGATTTCACTTTTACTAACACAAGATCTGCTGTGAAGATGGGATATATCGGTCCACCCCTTCTGGTACCTTCCACACAAAGGCTAAAAATTTTGAATATCCATAAAGCTCATAAAACGTGAAATGAGCATCCGAGTCCATTCAAACTTGGTATATCTCAATATTTTTCTCAACACTAGATCTGTTATAAAGGTGGTAAAGTTCGGACCATTTCTTCTGGTATCGCACCACATAGTGTTCAATTGGATATACATGTTTGATTTTCTTGTCATTTTGTCCATACCATTATTTTTATCTGTATTAGATGAAGTATGAAAATACTTTGGTCCGTTACAAACTGTTACCTCACGCATATTTCCACATTTTCCAAAAATTCGCCCATATTTCATATAAAGTATAGGAAATAGTCGATATAGTCCGAATCTGGCACGTTGTAATATTTATATTAGACTTAGGTCAGATACGAATTGGTAAATATTGTCCAACTGCTTCGGAACCTCCCCCATAGAGTTTGAATAATCATAACTCAAGGCTGGGGCTATACATCTGTCGGCAAAAACCGATTATACTATTAATCTTCTGTTTTAAAATTTGGTAATGCAAATTCATCGAGGAGTTACCAACAGAATGACAAACTTAATATACCCCGCATACAACACTGGAGGCCATAAAATGCAATACTGTGAAGCATTCCACATACTGATGTATAGATATTTTACGCTTTCCTTTCCGAAGATCCGAAGATTTTTTGGTACATCTCTGTGTACATAATCCTTCCTAGAATGCACGAGTATCGTTAACGTATTTCTTGTTATGACAATTCTTTGAATTCTTAATTTTTTCCATTTCATATTTGATCCATTGGCGTCTCCTGATAGAGGAGAGTCTTTTTTTGCTGACTTCTGATCCTCATCAGATGATCTCATTTCCTTCAAAATTCCTTTTTTTCGAGCTGGGCTCTATGATCCATGCTAACTTCAGTGTGGGTGGCCCAGGGCAAGCGTGACTTAAAGTCTAGTTCCCTTCGAAATTTCCCAAGAACGTGAGGTTCATCCTGATTGCTTGTCTGGCATTGTGTCGTCCTTCCCCACAATTACTTTGCTCGGTGTCTTTGGCCGCCATCGTTTTTGGTTACATTGAAGTAATTGTAAGTAGACCCATGCCTTTTGCTGGAATAAGACAACTAATCGCCGAGGTGCCTAGATATGAAAGAGGTTCCGTTTTAATAAGCCAACTGAAATTCTTGAGCGCTGGTGCGATCGGGGTTGCATAAAACTATTGCATTTTAAAATTGGTTGGTTCACCAAATCCTGGTGAAGACAACGGTTATGCTCTATCCTTTTTTGGAAAAAGGTATTCACAAAACTGATAAAATAGAGCATTTGTGTAAAGAGAAGTGTTATTCTTTGTAGACCTAAATGTATGATTAATTTTGGATGAGCTCTGCTAATCAGATTCTTCCTTTGTGCTCAATAAGAATTGAGACGAAAGCAGCATCCTATATGTAGTTGTCTTGTCTATTCAGTTGACGTTCTTGAGCTGCCTGATAGAATTCCTTTGTAGAGTTACATTTTTATAGCGTTGAGTCGCCCCCTATAAATCGTGCTGGTTCTTCCTGACACACGCGTGGCTGGGGAAGTTTTATCCAACAAGTATTCATTTGCATTAGTCCTATATAGATCTTTTTAATGCTGGATGAAAATTTTTATTTTCATCGCTTGGCCCAACACGCATAAATCTTTTTATACCCTCCACCTTGGAAAGGAGGGTATATTAAAATTGTCATATCGTTTGTAACACCTCTAAATATTCATGGTATATCCCATGTCGATTACCCTAAGTCGATCCGTCTAACCACTTGAAATCACTTCCACATAATTTGATCTTTGGGTTCTAGCTCCGGCGGCCGCCATATAACGGCACCTCCCCATATTCGGTACTTTGATGATGAATTTTCCCACATTATTCCAAGGATTTGTCTAAAAATTGCTATTTGTTGGTCATGATGGGTTCTAGCTCCGGTGGCGAGGTGTGGTGTGTGTATTATGGTTGCACGTTTTTGTATGGCCTCTGTATAACGTACCTCCCGCTTTTGGGTATATTATTGATTTTTTGCACATTTTTCCACGAATTTGTCTAAAAATTGGTATTTGTGGTTCATAATGAGTTCTAGCTCTGGTGGCAGAACATTGAAAAATTTCTCTAGCTCACATAAAATAATCCTAGTCATTGAAAATTTTCTCTAGCGCACATAAAATAATCCTAGTCACATTTACCCACGAAATTGTTTCAAATTTGGTATTTAAGAAGACTTGGTAGATGACAATTATTGAAGAAAAAATTTCGATAGACTTTCCCGTTTTGGTATGGCCCCCATATAACGACCTCACCCACCGGTTTTTTTTTTTTGAAAAGTTTAATAGCATTATCCAAACGGTCTTACAACCCGTGTCGAACCATTGTCCTTATTGGTCCATGATTTCTATATAACGATATCGACATCCACCTATATTCGGTATTTTGATGATCCTAGCCACATTTTTCTACAGGGGTTTAAATGTGGTATTTAGGACTCGCAATGGATAGCAATCCTTATAGTAGAAGATTGTTTTCGTTTCGTTATGGTCCAACCACTTAAATGTATTTTAAAACTTTAATTGTATTTTTCTACTGATCTCACTGGAAAATCGGTTATCCTGGTAAAACAGATTTGCATTCCTGCAGTTCTGAAACAAAGCAAAGCAAAGTTCGGCCGGAATTTGGAAATTAAAAAAAATCGCAAAAAATTCTGTTAAAATATTAAAAATACCGAATATAGCCGTTATATTGGGGTCTATACGAAGATGTGGACTTGGCAACTTTTGTCATAAGCTTTTAGAATATTCAAATACGAAATTAAAAAAAAAAATTTTGTGTGTAGCTAAAATCATCAAAATACCGAATATAGGGATGTACTGATATATTGGGCCTATACAAAGGCCTGGACCTGCAACTTCCAATTGTAATTCCCATTACGAACTCTAAATATTAAATTGGAACAATTCAGGTGAAAAATGTCGTTAAAATCATCAAAATACCGAATATGTACATCCCAATTATATGGAGGCTGTACGAAAACACAGTACCCATTACGAATTCAGAACGAAATTTGAAACAATTCCGGTGAATTATGTCAGTGCGTAAAGTGCTTGGAAAGAACTTCTAGTATGGATCTTTAAACAATTCCATTGAAAAATGTAGCTAAAATCGTCAAAATATAGGGAGGTACCGTTATATGGGGGATATACGATATCGTAAACATATAAGGAGAATTCTCTTTCAGGAGGTAAAGTACTCAAAAGGAACTCCTTATGAAGATTTTCAGACAATTCCATTGGAAATAATGATGAAAATACCGAATATCGGGGGTTACGGTTTTATAGGTGCTACACGATGTCGTGAAGGTATATAAACAATTCTCTTCCAAGGGAACTCCTTCTGTTTATTTTCAGACAATTTCAGTGAAAAATGTGGCTAAAATCATCGAAATACCGAATATTGGGGGGTACTGTTGTATGGAGGCTATACGATATCGTGGACCTATATAAAGAATTCTCTTATAGAGGATAAAGTACTCAGAAAGAACTCCTTGTGTTGTTTTTCAGACAAAATCATAAAAATACCGAATATCGGGGGGTACCGTTGTATAGGGGCCACACGATATCGTGGATCTATATAAGCAATTCTTTTCGAGAGGGTAAAGCATTCAGAAAGAACTCCTTGTGTGGATTTTCAGAAAATTCCATTGGAAATTGTTTTTCAGTGAAAAATGTGGCTAAAATCATCAAAATACCGAGGGTGGGGGGGTACGGTTGTATGGGGGCTATACAATAACGTGGACCGATATAGCCCAACGTTGAACTTGACCTGCCTGCAGACCTGTTTTCTATCTTTATTCGTTTTGACACTAGCGTGATTACAACAGATGGACTGACGGGGCTAAATCATCTTAAAATTTTACTCTGATCAAGAATGCAGATTTGTAGACTTGTGTACCCCCATACACCTTTAATATTTCACTCGTAAAATATATTGGAAACTCCTTGCCAGATATTTTTGTATGGGCACCTTTGAGAAGCTACGCGGTACCCTCCGATGTACCGTGTTTTCATCTGAGACAACTGCAATTTGAAATTTCTAATTCTTAGGAAACTTGTAAAAACAATAACTTTAGGTACACAATTCTCAACCTCGCATTTCCCATATTAGAAGTTATGATCTTATGATGTAGAAGCTTTATAAAGGTATTTTACCAAGTGTGCCTTGTCAACAAAGTCAATTATATTTTTGGAAAAACAAATTTCCCTTCAATGCCTCACTTTTCTGTTTTATTTGTTTCGAAGAAGAACACATTCTAAAATTTTCGTGTTTGTCTTTTTTTAACGCGCGTCTTTTTGTCAACAGTTGTTTATATAAAATTTTGAAATATCTAATTTAAAATTAAGGTATTCCATCCATGATCTCTAGTAGCTGAAATTTTCTAAAGTGTGTTCCCATTTAACCTGCTTCTTTTCAGAAATCTATGATAATCTTCCCTGTGATGGATGGATGAACATGAATGCCATGCGTAATATGAATATTTCGAATAATTTCCCACCAATCGGAACATTTTCCTTGGAAACTGCTTTGGGTACACCTCAAACTCCGCAACCACCACCGCAACATCATCAGTCGCATCAACAGCAGCAGCAGCAAAATCATCATCAGCAGCAGCAGCAACATCATCATCAATCGCAGGCAGGACCACCGCCATTGTCTCAACACCCACCCATTGGCATTTTCGATGCCAATGAGGTTCCCGAAATCATTCAAAATCCGGCCACCGTTGGTGTATTCCAATCGAACAGTGTTTTGAGCAATGGTGGTAGTTCCAGTTTTGGCCAATCCAATTCTTCATCGTCGGCTGCCAATGATCCAAGTCAGACAACTCGTGAGACTGGTATAATAGAGAAGTTATTGGTGGGTATTGCGGATCTTAATCTCCAAATATAGAGCAATAGCAAATAATTTTGAATCTCTTTTCTTTAGCATTCGTATGGTTTTATACAGTGTTGCGAGCGCCAGGCTCGTCTATTCTTTCATTTTTCGCAATTCAGTGGCAATATTGACCATTTGAAAATCGGTGATCCGGTCGAATTTGAAATGACCTATGATCGTCGTACTGGTAAACCAATTGCTAGTCAAGTTTCTAAAATTGCACCCGAAGTGGTAAGTGGCTAAGTGGTTTCTTTTGCCTTCAACGCTTGTTCTTCAACATGTCTTTGTTTTCTTTTCGTCCCATTTAAGGTTCTTTCGGAGGAGCGTGTCACTGGAACTGTTACCACAGAATTACGCACCGATAACAACAACATTTTGAATTCAAGCGAAACAACTGGTCGCATCAGTTATGAAAATCGTGGAGAGTGCTTTTTCTTGCCCTATACCAAAGACGATGTTGAGGGTAATGTCAATTTGAGGGCTGGTGACAAAGTTAGCTTTCAGATTGCTACCAACCAAAGGTGGGAAGGAGAAGGACTCTTGATCATATTTTGGAAGATCTTAATGATTGTTATAAAATTTCTTGCAGAGGAAATTTGGGTGCTTGTCACATTCGCTTGGAGAATCCAGCTCAACCGGTCAAGTATCGTGGCGTTGTTTGTTCCATGAAGGAGTCGTTCGGCTTTATTGAACGTGCCGATGTTGTCAAGGAGATTTTCTTTCATTTCTCTGAAGCCGAAGGTAATGTTGAATTACGTCCAGGAGATGATGTGGAATTTACCATTCAGACACGTACCGTAAGTGATCCCTGATGTTGTGCTGAAATACAAAAATATCTGAAATGAGTTTTCTTAAATTTCATAGGGTCGAGAATTTGCCTGTAACATAACGCGCTTGCCACCCGGCTCGGTCATTTTTGAAGATGTTGACACCACCATTTACAAGGGCCAAGTTTTGAAGCCATTGGATCGCAACAATCCTACGCGTCAAACCAATGATCCCTTGCCGGGTCGCATACGTTACAGGGCTCCAGATTATTCTGAGGTTGAAGTACCATTTGGTGACAAGGATCAGGTATTTAAAAAAGGACTCTTCGTTTCCAAATATCGCTTTAACTAAAATGTTTGTTTGTGTTTTTCAGAAGGGTGATTTTACTTTGCGCCATGGCGATTGGGTACAATTCCTATTGGCCACCGATCGTCGCGATCAATTGCAACGCGCCACATCCATTTCTCTGTTGGACGAAACATTTAAGGTTTCCGGCGAGAAGCGTGAACAGGGTGTTATTTCTGGCTTGAAAGACGGATTTGGTTTCATACGAAGTGTCGAACGTAATGTTCGTATATTTTTCCATTATACTGAAATTCTGGACACGGTATGTTTATAAAATTGATTCTATAACCAGTTTATTATATCCTCAGCCTAAGGAGGCTATATATCATTTGATACGGCCAAAACTTGCCTTATGGAAATAACGATTTTAGACCCTAGGTCGTCTCTTTGGACCAAATTTGTTTCAGGGCATTTAGAGTCGATCTAGCGATGTCCTTCCGACTGCGAAATAACGGTTTTAGACCCTAGATCTTTTTGGATCAAATCCATTTCAGGACATTTGAAGGCGATCTAGCGATGTCCGTCCGTATGTCTGTCTGGCTGGTGCGCACCATAACTCTTGAAGGGAATATCCGATTTGATCCAAACTTGGTACATCGCAATATTATTGTTAAACATAGATCAAGTTCGGAAATGGGCAATTTCGGTCCACTCCTTCTGGTACCGCCCACACAAAATGTCAAAATTTTCACAATTTTTCCTTTTAAAGCAAGAAAGGTTAATCCCCATTTTGTGCAAAATTTACAAACCCCAATATTAGTATCAGTTCTAGGTCAGGTGCGAAATTGGAAAATATCGGTCGACTCCTTCTGGTAGCTCCCACACAAAATGGCAATATTTTCAAAGAAAATAATTTCTTGCACAGAAAGAGAAAGGATAATCCGATTTGGCTCCAACTTTGCAAATCCTAATATTTGCATCAGTGCTAGGTCGGGTTCGAAAATGGACAATATCGGTCCACTCCATCAAGTACCTCCCCCACAAAGGGTCAATATTTTGAATAATTATAAATTTTATAAAACGTGGTGTAAGTGTCCGATTGTCCTCAAATTACACACATCGCAATATTTTTATTAACACAAGGTATGGTGTGAAGATGGAATATATCGGTCCACTCCTTCTGGTAGCTACCCCCACAAAGGGTCAAATTTTTGAATAATCATGAAGCTCATAGAACACGAAATTAACATTCGATTCCATTCAGAATTGGTACATCTCAATATTTCCAGCATCACAGGATCTGCTATAAAGGTGGTAGAGATCGGACCATTCTTTTTGGTACCTCCCCCCAAAGGCTCAAAGTTTTGAATAACCAAAACGATCATAAAATTCGAAATAAGCATTCAGTTCTCTTCAAATTACACACATCAGAATATTTTTATTATCCCAAGGTCTGGTGTGAAGATGGGATAAATCGGTCCACTCCTTCTGGTACCTCCCCCACAAAGGGTCAAATTTTTGAATAATCAGGAAGCTCATAGAACACGAAATTAACATCCGATTCCATTCAAACTTGGCACATCTCAATATTTCCAACATCACAAGATCTGCTATAAAGGTGGTAGAGATCGGACCATTCCTTTTGGTACCTCCCCCACAAAGGCTCAAAGTTTTGAATAACCAAAAACGATCATAAAATCCGAAATAAGCCACCAGTTTGCTTCAAATTACACACACCCCAATATTTTTATTAACCCAAGGTCTGTGGTGAAGATGGGATATATCGATCCACTCCTTCTGGTACCTCCTCCACAAAGAGTCAAAATTTTGAACATTCATGAAGCTCATAAAACACGAAATTTTAAATCCGATTCCATTCAGACTTGGTACATCTCAATTTTTACACCAACACAAGATCTGTTGTAGAAATGGTAGGAATCGGACCATTTCTTCTGGTACCTCCCCCATAAAGAGTCAACAATTAAATAATCACAACTCAAGGCTGGGGCTATACAGCTGTCGGCAAAACCGACTGATACTATTTTACTTGTTTTTTAATTGAAAATTATATTTCCTAGAGCCGCGAAATTATGGTCAACGATGAGGTTGAATTTACAGTGGTTCAGGAACAAGGTGTTCCCTACAATGCATCACGTTTACATGCTATACGCATTAAGCATTTACCACCCGGTACTGTGCAATTTGAAACTTTAGTGGCTAACAATATAGAGGGTAAGGAATAGCACGAATTTAGTTAGTCATAAAAGCAAATCTCAAGCGAAACCCTTCAATTTTAGGTTATGTTACCCGTGAGGCTCCCAAGAGTCCAGTGAAATCTCAAGACCGCGTTGAAGGCGGTGTTATTACCTATGACCATGGTGAACTTAAAAAGACTATTATGTATTTCCTTAAAGACTGCGAAAAACCACCTAGAATTGGAGACCGTGTACGTTTTGATATATACTTGGTAGGTTTGGGTTTTTGAGAGGTTATTTGCCTTGTTTCGAAACTAATGCAGTTTTCTCCTTCCATCTGTCCAGGTAAAAAGAAATAAAGAATTGATTGCTGTGAATGTTCAAAATTTGCATACACTGCAACCCGGCATGCAAACAGCGGCGGGGGTTATTCAGCAACAACAACAACAGCAGCCACTGCAACAACAGCCGGCGTCACAATTAAATCCGCAATTATTGCAACAACAATTGGCAACTAATACAACGAATCCACAACAACCAGCACCACCAGCAGCCGCTGTTGCAGCTCTACACCATCATCATCATCCACATCTTATTCTAAATCAAAATAATGATCCAGCCATCATCAACCAGCACACAAATGGAATCATGGCAGGCATTGGCGGAGGAGGCGGTGGCATGATAATACCCACTCAAAATGGTTATTTGTCCATGGCGGCCACCAACAATCATCAGATGCTTCAAACCCCCAAAATTGAAGATTACACCAAAATGGAGAATAACAATATGGCTGGCACCGAAACCGGCCAGCCAGTCTATAGGGGTTTTATTGCCGTTATCAAGGAGAATTTCGGTTTCATCGAAACACTGTCACATGACGAAGAGGTGTTCTTCCATTTCAGTAACTATGTGGGCAATCCCAATTGGTTGGAATTGGGTCAAGAGGTTGAGTATACCTTGTCGCCGAACGGCAACACTTCGGTATCGGGTAATTGCTTGCCCGCAGAAAATGTACGCACCCTGGCCAAGGGCTCCATACCACAGCCGGCTGTAAAGGAGGGAGTTCATAATGGTGTCGTTGCACGTCCACTGCGTTGCATTAATCCCGATCAACAGGAATACGCTGGGCTAATTGAGGTGTTGGATGAGACCAGAACCCAGGTGTTGTCGCAACACGAATTCGGCATTACCAGTTTGGTTAACAAACGTGACTTGTTGCAAGCCGGCGATTTGGTCACCTTCAAGATCGATGAAGCTGGACGCGCTGCCGAAATTACCGCTGTACGCCAAAAGAAACGTGCCACAGTCGATTCGATTAAGGGCCAATTTGGTTTCCTTAACTACGAAATAGAAGATGGTAAAAAACTTTTCTTCCACATGTCCGAGGTACAGGGCAATGCTGTGTCTTTACATCCCGGTGATACAGTGGAGTTTTCTGTGGTTACAAATCAGGTGGGTGTTGTTTTTGATTGTGTGTGAAATTCCGTTAATTAATAAATTTGTTATCCTTACAGCGCAATGGCAAATCGTCGGCATGCAATGTTTTGAAAATCAACGATCGCCCAGATCGTTTGATTTCGCGTCTCAAGTTGACCGATGACACATTGCCCCGTTTGATTGTAATTCGTGCACCCAAAGGACCCCAGCCAAAAGGTTTTCTGCCACAGGCACGTTTACCACGCATTCCAGGTGAGTTGAACATGTTTGAAATATAATACTTTTGTCTGGCCACAGAATAAATGGAGCGGCATATTTTGGCTTCAAATATGAGGTCTTCTATGGTCTATAGAAGGTTGAAGACCTTGAGGTCTCCTATTGGCTATAGAAGACCTTCAGGTCTTATATTGCTTATAGAAGGCCTTGAGGTCTTCTACTGTCTATAGAAGACCTGGAGGTCTTCTATTGTCTATAGAAGACCTTGAGGTCTTCTATTTTCTGTGGAAGACCTTGAGGTCTTCTATTTTCTGTGGAAGACCTTGAGGTCTTCTATCGTCTATGGAAGACCTTAGGGTCTTCTATTGTCTATAGAAGACTTGAGGGTCTTCTATTGTCTATAGAAGGCCTGAGGGTCTTCTATTGTCTATAGAAGACCTGGGGGTCTATAGAAGACCTTGAGGTCTTCTATTTTCTATAGAAGACCTTGAGGTCCTCTATTGTCTATAGAAGACCTTGAGGTCTCCTATTGTCTATAGAAGACCTTGAGGTCTTATATTGCTTATAGAAGGCCTTGAGGTCTTCTATTGTCTATAGAAGACCTTGATGTCTAGAGGGTGAGATAAAAAAAAAAACTGCAACAAAGTCAAACGACATAATTTTTAAAATATAGGGTGAGATAAAAATTCTGCAAAGTCAAACGCCGTGATGTTTAAAATTGTTATATAAATTTTATTGAATTAAAGCAAAAAAAATGTCGGAAATAGCATCGAAATTTAGAATAAGTTTAGATTTGTTCGAATTGGTCATCTTTGGCACAAATTATGGCCTTCAAACGGCCAATGAAACCGTCACTAATATTCTCTAATATTGTTCTGTGGTATTTTGGCTCATTCCCGGCGAAGCGCTTGCTTGAGGTGATCGACACACTTTTTAGTGCCAACCTTGCTTTCCAAAATCCTCCTGACACAATAGTCCAACGGATTGGTATCCGGGAGGTTTTGGTGGCCATTGTGCGCTGGAAATGAAGCGAGCAACCAAATTTTGTAACCATTCTTGGGTGGCGTGTGCTGAGTCCTTTGGGAATGTCCAAGGTCTGCGGCCAAAATGTTTGCGTGCCCAAGGCTTTAATACACCCTCCAGAATATTTTCGCGATAATATTCGGTATTTATTCTGATACCACGGCCGATAAATTTGAGCGGAGGGAGACCATCAGTTGTTATGGCGGCCCACACCATTACCATGACCGGCGCTTGAGTTCTGGTGGTGGTTCTGTTGGAATGTCCAAGGTCTGTGGCCAAAATGTTGGCGTGCCCAAGGCTTTAATACACCCTCCATTTTATTTCGGCATTAACTCTGATGCCACGGTCGATTAAAACGAGCGTAGAGCGACCATCGGCTGTTATGGTGGCCCACACCATCACCATGGCCGGCGCTTGAGTTCTGGTGGTCAAGCGACACACATTTTCAGGACGACCTCTTTGACCTTAGCTTAACACGCTCATTTTGTTTGTTTCCCAACTGCTGGACAACGAATGTTTTCTCATCGGAGACGAAGAAATCCCTAATTCGGCAGTTCACCACTTTCGGCCAGGCTTTATCTCTTTTGAGTCTATTTTCTTTCGGTTGCGGTGTAAGTTGTTGCCCTTTTTGGAATTTCAATGACTTTACCCCCAGCTCATTTTTCAATATTTGCCGAATGGGAAATTGCGATATGTTCAGCTCACGAGCCATTTTTTCGGCCATTGCGACGCCGGTTTCGATCAAGTCGCTTCTTTACTTTTCGTACCATTTCTGCTGATGTTGCTGTTTTCTTACGTCCACTTCCTTGACCACTTGTTGGGCTATGCTACCAGTATCACGTAATCAGTAACGAGTGATGGTACGAGACACAAAGACGAGATTTATTCACATTTAAATGCTGGACATTTTTATTTTTTCAGTAGGCAGGTCTACGTTTTCATATAGCCCTCATATAACGGTACATCCCTATATTCGGTATTTTGATGATTTTAGCGACATTCACCGGAATTGTTTCAAATTTGGCATTTGAAGTTCGAAATGGATACTACAGCCTAAGACAAAATTATCTGTGCAGGTCCACGTTTTCGTATAAGCCCCCATATAACGGTACCTTCCTATATTCGGTATTTTGATGATTCTAGCGACATTATTAACCGGAATTGTTTAAGATTTTGTATTTGAAGTTCGTAATGGATATTACAGCCTAAGACAGAAAATTGTCTGTGCAAGTCGGTATTTTGATGATTTTAGCGTCATTATTCACCGGATTTGTTTCAAATTACCTATTTAGAGCTCGTAATGGGAACTACAGTCTGTGACAGAAAATTGTCTATGCAGGTCCAGGTCTTCGTATAGACCCCACATACCGGTGCCTTCCTATATTCGGTATTTTGACGAGTTTAGGTACAATACCCACAGAAATTGTTTGAGACGCGTATTTGAAGTTCGTAATGGATGCTACAGCCTATGGCAGAAAATTGTCTATGCTAGTTTAGGTCTTCGCACAGCTCTGATATAACGCTACCTCCGTATATACCATATTTTGACGATTTTAGCTACATTATTCACCGTTTATTTCAAGTTTCGAATTTGAATATGGTAATGGCTAATGGCATACAATGCCCATGTAGGTCCACGTCGTATAGACACCAATATAATTGCTATATTCGGTATTTTTAAAATTTCAACAGAATTTTTTAAAGATTTTATTTCCAAATTCGTTCCAAATGGTGGAGGGTATTCAAAGTTCGGCACGGCCGAGCTTACTGTTTTTTTAACTTGTTTTATCTCACCCTGTAGATGGCGTTCTTTACAAGAATTCTTTTGATATTTTACATTAAATCCTTAAATCCTTTTTTTATTTTTGGTTTTAATTTCAGGCATAATCTTGGAATAAATTATTGACCGCGTAACAAAATCGAAGGATTCAACGACTGAAGACATGTTCCCCACAATTTTTATTTAAAACAAAACAACAAAAAAAAAAAAATATTAAGCCATCATTACAAAAAAAAAAAACAAGAAAATACACTGCTATACTCTATATATAAATATTAAAAGAAAAACAAAATGAATCACTGCTAAACATAATACAAGTATAAAATAAAGGAATCTTATCATATATCCTATCCAATTATTATATACTATTTAAAGAAAGCAACATAACTAAGAAAAAGAAGACAAAACGATGGAAAGAAGAAAGAAGCAGAAAATACGGAGGAAACAAGAACAAAAATGGAAATTGTTGTGTGTCTCACACTTATTTCCAATATGAGATGAAGTTAAAAAAACAAAATAAAAGCAACAAAAAAAGATTATAAAGTAACAGAAGATGAAGAGAAGAGAAAACAAAAATAGAAATAATGCAAAACAAACAAAAATAATTATGAATAGAATTTGAGTATTTATTAAAACAAAAATATATATGCGTAATTCAACAAAAATACAATAAACCAAGAACAAAAGAAAAAAAAAATATATAAAAAAAAAATCACATATACATATACAAAAAAAATTGAAAAAAAAGAATAATAATAAAACAGAAATATCGTAACGAAACAACAACCATTATCTTTATTCTTAAATGCAAAAACCCCACATATACAACATATACAACCAAACACACACACACACACACACATACTCACTCACACATACACAAACCTCTCCAAGACACCTATACAACATAACTAAGAAAAAAAAACAAGAAAAAACAAATTAACAAAACTTATGAACATCGATCGATATGATACCATACGATACAATTTTACTATATATGAGAATTATAACAACAACAACAACAAAAACTATATACATGAAGAAACAAAAAGAAAAAATTATATACATAGAAGTAACAAAAAAAAAAAAAAAAAAGAAAACAAATACATATGCTATTTATTTTTGCTTTATAATTATCTTCAAAAGACAAAGACAAACCTTTGACGCTCTATTCCAACACCAACGACCGATGTGTATTTTCGTTACAAAAATCAACTGCAGGCCATTTAAAAATTTTTATAATCAAAATGAAGCAAAAAAAAAAAATATTTTATTTTCAGTGAAAATAGATTTTTGGATACAATTTTGTTAAAGGAGTTAAAAACCAAGAAGCTCAATACCATATATACGCTTGTGTGGGGTATAAAAACGGTGACAAAGAGTGCACACAACTCTTAAACATTTTTTCATCGATCCACTCTTGATTTAGAGAAATTTGCCTCACATTCAGCGAAATGTATTAATTAAAGTATTAAAATGCAGATATAGGAAATTGAGGAGTCGTCGATTCAAAGGCCAAAAATAAATCTCCAATGATGAAAACAAGATAATAGTCTTGAACGTACTTAAGTGATATTGTGTGAGATTTAAAATTCCTGGAAAACAACTCGCGAATTCATTCAGCTCAAAGGCATGTTCGGCAGAGCAGATATATGAGGCCAAACAACCTTCCAAAAAGGCAATTCTAAAATTTAAAAGGAAGAACAAATTTAAAAATTTGAAGGAAACATTTAAGAGCGAAACTAGATAAAAAACGTAAACTGTAAGGAAAAGTCAAAAGTAGGGTGGGACCGACTATATGATACCCTACCCCGTTATGCATATTTAGTAGAGCTCACGTAACAAAATAATTTATTTGAATTAGATCATAGCACCTATCAACATTTGGCTTTAGAGCCGTTATAATTTGGTTTCAGAGGGCACCAATAAATGGGAGGCATATCCAAGTCTGAATCGATTTTCACTAAATTTGACAGAGACATTTTTATATTTTATACCCAATATCGCTGCTATAGAGTGCATGATATCACTTCGAGAAGTATTATTTTAAAAAAAATATATAACGGAGCCGAGTTCCACGAAATGGAAACTTATGTCCCGAAATTCACTCCATTTGAGCTGATATTAGCCATTATTTGTACAATAAATCTGAAATCGGATTGAATATATATATGGCAGCTATATCCAAATCTTAGCCCATCTCGATAAAAAATTGGGAAAGGTATTTCCGAGCTATCTGGTACCAAATATCATTGTTGTCGAATGCATATTACGAAAGTAAGGGACTTAAACATCAAATCGGATGAAACATATAGTATGTGGGAGCTATAGCTATATCTGAACCAATATTCACCAAATTTTACGTACTCGTTTCTAAACTGAATTCGGTCGGATGTGGCAAAATTCAGGTCAGTTGGACTAATATTGGTCATTTAGTGCACAATTAATCCGAAATCGGTCAAATATATATTTGGGAGCTATGTCTAAATTTGAACCGATCTTGAAAGAGGTATTTCTGTGGGAGCTATATCTAAATTGCAACCGAATCTCACCAATTTCAAAAGGGTTCGTCCATGGGCCAAACAAATATAATTTGGAAAATTTCATCTCAATCGGATATAAATGCGACTTGCATTTTGTTAACAAGAATACATGGACAGATGAACGGACATGCATAAATCGACACATAATGTGATTCTGTGTAGATCATCAAAAGGGACTATGGGTCTATTTCGTTTCCTTTGCATGTTACAAACAAATTCACAAATAAATAATACCCAGACCATCTTGTGGTGTAGTCTATGTCGTTTCAGGGGAATAAGTGAAAATATTTAAGTCACTCAAGTCTAAAATGTTAAAAGTATCGAGAACTGAAGGATGTTTGACAGTTAAAAACTGTCCCAGAATGAAATATGAGTTTAAATTACGTGATGGCATCGAAAAAATACGGAACAAATCAAGTTTTCTTTAAATAAGATGAAATGTGTTTTCGAAGTCGAGTAGGTTGACCGGCTAAACCTGCATGTTGACTAACTTTCCGTTGGCGCAGAAGTAATCCTGCTATCAGAAAATGCTATAAATTTTACGATTGGCTCCGAATGTCTTAATTACAGCCAAAAAACATTGGGATGTCTTTCAAGTACATATGCATGTACAAGATGGCGCAAAAATAAACTTCCGATGTTTTTTGGTTGTAATGAAATATTCGGGGCCAAGCGAGAAATTATAACATTTAGGAGGGTTACTTTTGCGCCACCTTGTATATGTTTTCCGTGTGTCTGACTGGTGTTCACGATAAATCTCGAAGAAAGTATCCGATTCCGTCGTAATATTTTCATCAAACATAGATCGAATTCAGATTGGCAATATCGGCCACTCCTCCTACGACAAGAGATCAACTTTAAAAAAACAAAAAAGAAGAGATCAAATGATACCAAAATGATGTTTTTTAGATATGTTGGAGCTCTAATGAAAAATTCGGGTCCAGTTTTTATGTATTACCTTGTGCATTTGTTTGTAACAGGCAAAAGAAAACAAGATAGACCCATAGAATCACAGTATGAGTCGAAACATTTGTTTGGGTCAAGGATGAACCCTATTGAAATCGGTCAAACTTTAGATATAGATCCCATTATATATCTTCGTCCGATTTGCCTTTTATTGTGCATCAAACGTGTAATATTAACCCAAATGGGATGGAATTTTTCACATGCAACTAAATAAGGCCTGAAAATAAGTGAGCCAAATTTTATCGAAATCGGTTCAGATATAGCTAGAGCTCCCACATATATTGTTTATCCGATTTGTTATTTTAGTCCTCAGCTGCCGTAATAAGTATTCTGTAACAACGATATTTGGGGAAATACATCAAATACAGTTCAGAAATACCCTTGTCAAATTTTATCGAGATCTTCAACCGATCTCGGGTTAATTGTGCACCAAATTGCCAATATCTGTCCAAATGACCTGAATTTTGGCACATCCAACCGAAATCTGTCTAGTAGCAAGTACATCAAATTTGGAGAAAATCGGTTCAAATATAGCTATAGCAATATTATTTGATATCAAAGATTAAAATGTCTATGTCAAATTAAATGAAAATCGATTTAGACTTGGATATACCCATGGTACAATGAATTCAAGGTAGGGCAGAACTACCATATGATTTCAATTTTTTTATTTTTCTGGCTTAATATGTCAACTTTATTTGCTTATGTGTGTGTCTTCTTTTCAATAATAAAAAATTGTTCACAAAATATTCAAATTCGGGTGTTTTTAAAATGCTTATTGCAACGTATGCATCGACAAAGTCTACAGTTTTAGTCGCGAAATAAACCATAAGAGATATATAGAATATGATTTTGAAAAGAAATGTTGACCTTTTATTCAGTTTTCGCGGTTTTAAATTATTTATTCAAAATCAATGCAACAAGTTGTTTGCTTTTTTATTGTTTTTATAGCAATTCTGACATTACAAGCCAAACAGGTAGACCTCTATACTTGCAATTTTTTCAAAGTTGACCTACCTTCTCTTCATTGTACCATGGATATACCTACCATATATTAGTTCCCTATGAAACCAAGGTATAACTGATCTATATCCAAAGGTTGATAGGTGGTATGGTCTACTTATTTTGTTAAAGAAGCTCTACTAAATATGCATAGTGGTGTAGGGTATCATAGAGTCGGCGCCGCCCGACTTTAAGGTTTCTTTACTGGTATTTGTATTGCCTTCATTGTTGTTTTTTTTAAACGAAGATACACCCACGTTGGTGGTGGAATTGACCCCCCCCCCAATAACACAATACAAACTAATAGCAGGATCTTGGAATGAAAGGATGTTTCAACCACAGCAGTTAACTACAATGCAACCATGATAACTGATGACAACAAGAAAAATAGAACCCAATTTATGCAAATACAACACTTTTTACTGAAACAGCAGAAAAAATGGCAGCAATAAATGAAACTTGAAAAACAGAAAATACACTACCAAAAAAAAAAAAAACAAAAAGAGAAATAGGATAACATTTTCGCTTACTACTAATATTCTACTACATGAACATGAACAACAAATGAAAGGAACAATACAAAAATAATAAATATATAGTAACAAGAAAATATATAGTTTTTAACAACAACAGCAACCGCAACAACAAAAAAGGCAACAGAAACAAAAAGACAACTAAGTAAAGAACTAAAAACCAAAGCAAAATGAAAACAAAACAAAACATGTATGAAACACAACAAAACTCATTTCGCCAATCAATACAAATGCATTTTTTCATACTCACTCACTCTACCATACAAACCATACAAAAACAAAAACATACATTGCAACAAAATATTTAAAACTTATATAAAAACACTTTCATAGTTATAAATATAAGTATAAGGAACTTTTAAATATATTTCAAATATTCTTTGGATTTTTTTCTCTAAAGAAATTCCAATTTTTTTTTTCATTTCAAAAAATACCACCAAAAATTTTGAATTAAAATTCCTTTAACATTCTAATTGGGATCAGAAATTTCATAAAAAATGTGTAGCAACAAATTTTTTTCCAACTCTTCTTCATTCGTTATTAATAAAAAAAATGGCCATGTTTTTCCTTTCTATTTTGAAATAATAATAACAATAAGAAACATCAACAAATAACTTAAATGCAATTAAAAAAAAAAACAACAGACAACAAGA